GTGGGTACAAAAAAGAATAAGATGGATCATTATTTCTTTCATTTTTGGATGACTGTTCTCTGCTTTGTTTCTTACTAGCTGGCTGAAACATCAAGGTTAATGTTTCAATCGGGGTCCAACTTCCCAAATGACCTTTATTCCAATTACACCCCCTTACACCTGCCTCAGAAAAATCAACCTCTGAAATGGAACTTTCTTTATAGATCATTAACCCCTATAGGATAAGTACCTCCCACCCATCTCTTGAGATAGAACAATAACCCTGTGTGAGTCAACAGTTGATGCAGGCATCCCCAAAGCTAAATATGATTTCATGCCTGGGTTGCTGAAACATGCAGTATCAACAACAAGAAGCAAAATAGACAAGATTCACTCCGTACCATGGTCTATGCTGGGCATCACAGTTTAAAAAACTCAAATTAAAAAGAACCACCACAATATTGAGTGCTATTTTTAATTACTGAATGAATGGATGGGCAGGCCCATAACATGATAAAATATGTGGATCTTAGTCTAAAAACCAGCATCTGACTCGAAGGGAAAATGCTAGCAGCTCTCCCACTAAAGCTAAAAACGTGAAAATGAAAATAAATAAATAAAGTGACCGGGAGGCCTCCTGTCTCCCTGACTACATAACAGTGGCCTTGAGGCATGTGCAAAACTTAGAAGTAAAAACTGTAAACCTATTCTTGAAAGATGCAAAACCACACTTGCCTAAATGGGGAAATTAATTGTAAAATTTAACAAGCAAACTCAATAGGATAATGATATAATTTATCCAAATGTCATGCAATCTCAGTTTTTAAAAAATTATTCTGGAGCTATCCAGGTTGATTATACGACTCATGTGAGATAACAAACAAGCAAAAGATGACCAGAAAAAATAAAGAAGAGTAATGAGAAGGCTAGCTTTCACAATTATGAAACATACTACACCTCTAACATCAAAACAATGCCACTTTGGTGCACAAAGAACCAGAAAAATGAAACTAAATTAAAAATCCAGAAGAAGGCCTAATTGCATATGATGTTTAGTACTGCTACCCACTACTCACTCATCAATATGGTTAGGTTCCAAAGAGCAGGTCACAATTCAAAAATTAGCATTCTGTAAAAATGGAGATGTGGATGAGGCCATGCCCAGCCACTACGGAAGTAAGTCAGGTCCAGCCCAAGGGACGGAGCATGGCGGAGAATCCTGTCAAATGCCACATCACTGGGCTCCTCATCAATAAGAAGGGCAATGGGATGAAGC